TGCATCTCCTCCCCAGGGGGCGTTGACAATGTGTCAGGGAGGTTTGGTTGTCACAATGACTAAAGGACATAACTGTAGACTTTTTAGTTCATAGCATTATCCTGGACAACAAAGAGTTGTCCTGCCCCAAATAGTGCCCTCTTGGGAATGTGGATGCCCAGCAGGCTATGTCCCATTTAAGGGGGACTAGAGGCAGGCTCTGCTGATTAAAATGGTCATTGCCTTAGGAACTACTATGAAGGGAGCTGTTTGGGGAAACTCCTATTCCTAAAATCTGAAGCAACATTCTGAAGCCTTCTGAATCGGGAAGCAAGGGCTCAGCCCTTCCTAGCACTGCCTTCCTGCTTCAGGGGAGGCCAGTTATCAGCCAGCATCCAGGGCAGTGGTTCTGTGGGAAAATGTGACCTGGTCCACTTTGTTGTCCCCTACCTGGCAGGAAAGAACCTAATACCAGCCTCCCCTGCCCACAGAGAAGGCATGATTCTTTGCTTTCTTCATGCTGTGGTTACAGGGAACAAAAAATTAACTTCTCCCTGCTAGGTATTAGTGATCACCTCTACCACAGCAAGGAGAGGGAGCATTTATAAATTGGGTGATAAATCAGACACACACACACACACTGAGAGACTGGAAGTTTTCTTTTATAATAAGGAAAACAAAACAAAATCTGAGCCTTAAGGACTCTGTTTCCCCTCATTTTCTATAGAGAAGTCTGGGAGTTTGAGGGAGCAAAGGGAGAGTGGCCAAGTTGCTGCATAAAGAAGCAAGCAGCCCATCCACAATATTTGTCAGCTTGCTGAGGTCCTCTTTAAATGGCAATAGCAAGAAGGTCACAAGCCAAGTTGGGGGGGACCAGAGGGAGTTTAGTCCCAGTTCTACTGCTGCTAGTTGTATGACTCAACACATTATTTCTGCTTCGATTTCCCCATGAAGTGGGGACAATAGTAGTATTCATCTTTTGGTGGCATGAGGATTCAATGGGATCATGCATGTAAAGACCCAGCACAGCATCCAACACACCGCTACTGGTACCTGCTAACTGTAGAGTGAAGCAGGAGGCAGCGCCCATGAGAATTGAACACTTAAACCATCTCAGGATGGAAAAAGATGGATAAAGACTGAGACCTTCAAACATATGGACAATTTTTAACCAAATTATTATAATGTGGCCCCAGCAATAATCTCTTATTCGACTGTATTACCAGTTCTAATTACTTTATGCCTCTTTGGTCAGTCTCTAGACTGGGGAATGAATTACTAGTTATGAAGTTGGGATATAAAACAGTCAAATTAGTTTTTCTGCACAGAAGCTATATTTGGCTGGGGGGTTAGGGGTGGGAGCAAGCTTATTTTGTTAGTGCTCTAGGGTTCACTTGAATGGTAAGGAAATGAGAGGAATTAATATTTGAGTGCCTACTGCATTCCAGGCATGTGGGTACTTTAATACAGTGGTCCCCAACTATCCATCATGAAGAACCAATTCTATTTTTCTTTCCAATTGGCCATGGATGGATATGTTTGCATTGCTACATGTGGATGTTGTGATGGTGTCGAAACGCTATAAACATTTCTGAATGCTCCTCTCAATTTCTGTATTTATTATATCACAGATAAGTAACACTTCATCAACCATTCTCTGAGTGTACTTTATCTCCCTTCTTTCTTTCATTTTTTTTTTTTCAGACAGAGTCTTACTCTGTTCCCAGGGCTAGGATG